CATTTTCAGTACTTTCATATAAGTACTTATACATTGGTCCACAAGGTTGCTGCAACAGCAATATACCACCGGCGATCCTGGTGGCACCGATTGTAATGTGTTGAAAAATACATTGTAACACACAGGATTTTACTATCGGTGCCACAAGGTGTCGCTAGTGATAATGCTCTTGCAGCAACGGTGTGCATTGGTCACTGAAAGTACTGAAAACCACTGAAAAGTACTGAATTCAATTTTTCCGTAGTAATTCGCCCCTTGGTAAAATGTGTACATTTCAGTAGCCATCTTGCAGTAGTTATTCAATAGCATTTAATTAAAATGTTCATTGTGCGACGGATTCCGAACTCAAACAGTACTGAAATACCAATCTAGCGAGCTGGTCTTACTTACTCTTTCTCATTTTGTTATTGTATCGTTTCCACTAACATTCCTTTTTCGGCGCAAACACATACAAATACCTAGGGGAATATAACGCTAAAAATTCTATTGAATTTCTATTGATTTTTTGCATTTTTTAAAAATAAATTTCAATTATATTACATTATTCGAGATATCTGAGATTTTTTCAGATATACTGCGGTATTGCAGTCTGCATAATATTGTCAGCACCACAATTACAAACATTTTGACAGCACAACAATGAAAATTATACTGAAACTTTGTTATTTCATAGTGAATCTGAAGTTTATCATTTGAAGTTTTGTGTATATTTCAATACAATATTTAAAATATCCATAAATATCCATACTCTGAAAAAACTGATGTAGGGTTATGTTAAACTGTTTGTGTTGACATTTATTTCACAACAAGAATTCAAAAAGATTGTGGTGATTTCTGGTACTAAATATATTTCCAACTTTTTTTTTCACTACAAAGTCAAAAAAGATTTGTGGTGCTCTAGCGGCAAAAATATATTTAGTACCGAGAATCACCACAATCTTTTTGAATTCTTGTTGTGAAATAAATGTCAACACAAACAGTTTAACATAACCCTACATCAGTTTTTTCAAAGTAGATATTTAGTTTTGAAAATTTGACAGTTCGGGCGTACTTACTAGACGCTATCTTGAATTTTGATATTGAACATATCTTCACAAATCTGCAAAAATTCACGCTTATCTTCAAAACTCATCAGTCAAGGACAGATAGCTGAGGATATATGCTGGCATAGGAACTCAGCAAGCTGAGATTGGGACGTTTGGATTTTGTGACTTGCTATTCGTGCAAATTTATGTGGAATTTTGGTGGAGTGTTGATGGAGTCATGGAGTGTAATGGAAAATGTGTTCCAAACTCCTCTCCATCATAAATTTGTTTGAATAGCACGTCACAAAATCAAAATATCCCAATCTCAGCTTGCTGAGTTTCTATGCCCAGCATATATCCTCAGCTATCTGTCATTGACTGAAATTCATACAATTGCACAAGAAACAGAAAGTGTGAAGGTGGAAATTCGTCATATCTGAAATACTCCGCATATGTCAAAGTATTCAGCAGAATCTCAAATATCACACCGTATCTCACATGGTGAATATGCGTGAATAATACAGATTTTGCGAAATATTCGAAATAACATAGATTTCTATGCTATCGCAAAAATTCACGCATATTAATGGAAATGAATAATGCAAATCTATCACAAATTCTTCAATGTCGTTGATAATTTCACGGTCAATTAACATTAGCGATGACTCTGTGTCAAACGCACTTAAAATCACTGGATTTGAATGAAATAAATAAGATAGAAATAAGTTTTGTGGATAAAAATTGCGCGATATTCCCCTAGACAAATACACAAAACGTACGTTTGCTTGCGTAATAACAAATTATTATTATTATGCTCAGTTCGGTAGAGAGAAAGAGATCTTTTGAAATTAAATTTTTGATGGAGAAGAAATAGTGGTTCCGTCTCACTACACTGCGCATTTTCGGCCAAAATGCTTTCTCATTTGCTCATTTCACTCGGTATTTAACTTATAATTTGTACAAAAGTAACCAAATTGTATTTTGGTTTTTCACATTTCAATTGCTACAGCTGCAAAAACCTCTATTCTTCTGTGCTATTCCATTTCTGCCGCGTTCATTTTCACTCTTTCGCTCGCCTGTCGGTCGTCGAAATGTGCATAGTTTGCAATGTAATGCTCGTAGAAACTCTCTTCTATAATGCGGTTGCTTTATGAATTGCAGTTACTGAGAGAATATAAATAGAAATTTTCCAAGCAATGCAAAAATGAAGCACCAGATGCTAAATGGAGCTCACCGAGCACGTTACACAAAATCATAATTAAATTTGATTGTTTGATATTTGAATTTAATTAGTGAGCGGATTGTGTGTGAATTTGCATGGTCTTTTTCGAACGCTCCATCTTATTGGACACACTCCGAACGTCAGCTTCCGCTCCCTCATCGAACAATACTCATAATTACTAGAATTGTTTTTGAGTTTAATCAATTCAATTATGAGTTCTTCAAGACATGGATGAAGACATCTTCCGATTTCAATGCTTTGAATCTTCGACAGTTAAAACTTCAAACACTAAAACACAATCTTTTACAAATTATGACTCAAAGAGTAGCTTAATTATACATTCATTGAATATACACTAAACTGTATTGCACATGACGCTCCTCAAACGAAATGACGCAGCTATACATTTTGATACGTTTTCACTCGAACACTTACTTTATATTTACGGAATTATTTCAATTTTAGTTTTCATTGATTTCAATGTGTATGTTGTATTTGTTTACATGTTTGTGAACAATTTTATTGAAAATTGTGGTTCAGACATTTCCAAGACTTATCTCTTATCAGTTGTGCAATGATTCACTTTAATGGATTGTTCTTGTTTCACCTTCAAATCGGAAACTCAAATTCATTCTCATGTATAGTTATAGCCTTATCATATATACAGATATATTTTTTTGAACATTTGACTATTTTCAAATTTGAATTACAAATATATATTATATTTCATACACTGTCATACACTCTGAATTTAAATCTACACAACGAAAAAATGTAACCGGAAACTATTGGCAAATGCCATTGCTGAGCGGTTAATTGGCATATTCCAATGAACAAAACCGAATTATTGACAAACATGTTGCTCAGACAATCGCACTAATACCATCGATTGAATAAGGTGTTGGCAAGCAGTGCGATTGTCTGAGCGAGTCGCGTCAACACAATCATGAAGTAGGGTTGTGTTGACAAGCAGGTGACTCTCGCTACGCATACATAAATCAATTTAAATTCGCCAAAATTATTTTAAATCAATCGATGAATAGAGAAAAAGACAAAATGAACGTGACTTATCCAAGAGATAAAAGTTTCAAAATTGGAAATTGAATTTTCTAAGAAAAATTTCGCTTCGCTCGCCGTTTCGGCTAGTAATAAATAAAATATATAAATAAATGTCTTAATATGTCAATAGTGGCTTCGTGCTTTTAACTGATTCATCATCCCCGCGTGAAACAATTTATTCTTTTAAATCAATAATACCGATCGAATTACGATAGAAGCGCATCTGAAAAAATAGGTCTCTAAGTTGATCCAATCCAATTCTAAAGTAAAGAATTCAAAATTAAAAGAGTAATTCAGCGGATTTTGGTTGGACTTAACTACCGTTAATCAAAATTTAAGTTATTATTTTCATACCGATGGCTGGAAGAAGCATGGTGAGCTAAAAGTTGCCACCCGTTGAGCCCTCAATTCATGTGCCAGTCACTGTGGAGCCATCCGCTATATTTGCTTTCGCAAACAAGCAGAAAAATAAAAAAAACTAGGCTCTTTGTGCATTCGCCAAAATATTATTATTATTTTAAATAACTTCAGCGTGAACGAGATAGGGAGAGAGAAAAAGCGCTCGTTTTGTATTTATTTAGCTGAGCGTTCATTTCGTTTATTCACATTTTGGACGATCCGGCAAAGGCCGCAATTTTTTTCATGTTCATTCCATATATTTCTCTTTTTCTCCGTCTCTAATTCTATTCAATCCTCTCTGTCTCTCACTCTCTTCAAAAGAAGAACAGCGACAAAATAACGTGGATTTTCACGTTTGCATTTCGTTCATAAGCAGTTTTTTACTGTTATGCTTTGCTCGGTTCTCGTTTATTTCTCCCAGTTCTTAGTTGTTTTGTGACTTTTTTTGCGTCGATCGCATTCATCAAGAGCAGTATATTTAAATTTTTTCTGGGTGCAATTGCGTTCCCAGTCTCGCTTCATTCGAGAGGTTATTTTATGTACACATGTTTTTATTGATATGAGTTGCTCGGGCGCCAGAATAAAAATAATAATGTGTATGGGCCGTTTTTTCTGTTGTGTCTGCCAAAAAATATACAAAAAGGGAATACTAGTTGGTGTTCATATTGAAGTGGTGTTCATATTGAAGTGGTTTTCGGGTGCTGTGCACTAAATTCTTTTTTATTTGAACACAGACAGACATATTCCTTCAAAATGAACATGCATGTATATTTTCCTATTATTTGTACTTGTTGATAGTCGAAAAATTCAAGTGGAATAGGGTTCGATAGTTTGGCATTGGAACCGGAATCGAGACGTCAATAATGGATTTAGTTCGACTGGCAAGATAAGAAAAGGGTTGTTAGGCTACCTGCTATGCAGCCGCATCAAACGAACAAATCGAACTCAATCAAACAAAACTGATAGCTCCCGTTTCTCTTTATTCAATCGAGTTCGTAAATATGTTAGTACATTTATTTTTCACATTCGCGTCGAACATTTTTTTATGACATTTTTGTGCCAAAATCGGCTTCCTTCTTTATCAATTTGACAAAAGCAAGTGCAATCAACGCGATGCCAATGTTTGATATCGTCCAAATTTTATGTCCGTATCTTCTGATTACCAGCATTTCCCTTTCGTACAATGCCAGAAGAATCGCAAATATTTTTACACAATCTTTTTTTCTTTTCCACCTAACATTCCAACGAAACTGATAGTAAAGCTTTACTTTGAACAAATTTTTTTGTGTACTCACCATTATAAATAATCAATAAAAATGGTAGTAGCAATAAACTTCTTAATGTCGTCATATTTGTCAATGCTTTGCTCTGCAAAAAAAATGAGAAAGAAAATTCAAAGAGTAAGAATGCTGCTATAGAAGAATCTAACGATCAAATAATGAAACTAAAAAAAAAAACGCGAAAGCAAACAACAGACATTTAGGTTTTTGGGTAAAAAATGATGTACAATAAAACCAAAAACATGTACATGTAGAGCTTGACATTCCCAATCTTTAATATTACTATATATTATTATATAAACCTTGCTCTGATAAAAACACCAAAAAATATTCGTATTAAAGTCCAACTATTTGCTTTTACAAAAACGTTCTTAGTGGTTCAGAGTTTTGTTTAAATTCGGCGTCAGATTTCTCCATCTCTTTTTCAATTATTATACAGTTGGAAAATTGTCTGGGGACAAGCAAATCATGAAATTCATCATTGCATTATTTATTCATGGAAATAATTTGCTAACCATTGATGACGAATTGTAAAATTATTGTACAATTACAGTGTCTCAATTGAGATCGAGAAATATCAGTTGAAATTGCGTTTAGGTTTCGAGAATGGAATCGGAATAATTATTAGAAATTTCTTTGAGAGGGACGATTCTGAGTGGGTCACTTATCAAACGAAGCGTTCAAAATAAGACTACCAAGTGACTGAAGAAGAAAGCCGCACACCATCAAATCAATTAAAAATCAATTAAATGCAAATCAGCCCCGCGCTTTCTGCATTTGATGGTAGTAGGTTAATTTAAAGCGTGGGTACAAGAAAAAAACGTGAACAAAATGAAATGATTCCAATGAATAAATAATAAAAATGTGGAAGACGGAGTGAGTCAGAGGTTTTTCCCAGCGATGATGAAGACAAGGATCTGATGGAAAAAGTGTCCTTTGAATTAATCATTCCAAGAAGTGATTACTTCTTAAACGCCCATTCAAAAGTAAGAGATCGAAAATGACGCGAACACTGTGTTCATCTTTTTGTTGAAGGAACCGATGATGAAAAAAAAGAAATGAAGCCGGATTAAAATGCGAGATATTTTTCATTCGCACAGAAATTCTAATTAAAATTTAGTAAAGGAAACAATTATGATGCAAATAAATTCATAGAGAGCGTTAAGTGATAACGTAGCTTGTGTATTTTCATGAGTACTCTTTCTGCGCTGTTGTTTCAATGATTTTTTCATCGAGTATACAGTGTGGGTACACACGAACAATAGCAAACTTGGCATATAATGCGTAAATTGAACAATCAGACATCTTGCGGTAATTAATTTCATATATACTCGATTTCATCAATTCCATTTATTACTTTATTATTTACGCAAATATGTCGTGTTCTATTGAAATTTAAATGAAATGCTGCGAGATATAGTAGAAAATAAAGACGAACGCCAAAATTAAGTTTTGCTGACGAATTCAAAATGAGATGCATTCGAATCTCTGTCGTTTGAATGAAGAAGTCGGCAAAATGGAAAAGAGAAAAAATATGGTGCATCCATTCAAGGATTTGACGAGTAAAAAACCCATTGAAACCAAATCAAATCAATGCGCGTTGCAAGCAATGTTCGCAACATATACTACTCGTCAGAAGTTTGAAAACTCCTGATATTCTTCATGCCAATTGTCGTTTTTCAATAAATCAAATAGTATACTTTGACGCGAAGATTATGCCTAATATAAGCTACACGAAAGTGGCGCCACTTTAAAGCGTCTTTGATTTGCATTGTCCAATGTATATGCAAGCGGTTGGACTTCAAAATTACAAATTACAACTATCCTCGCTTCGGAACTCAATAAAAAAAACTACGCTACAAATATACAGCGTGTATTCCCTGCGCACGCTGCGTTTATACCATATTCACGCTTACGCTTATTTTATACATGGGGAATACACGTTGTATATTTGTAGCGTAGTTTTTTTTTCGTTGGGAGAAGGATCTCATACACAGAAATATTATGTATGTATATGTATATATTATGTATTACTATTAACATAACTTTTGCTAGCCAAATGTAAACCAAAAGTATTTTGTAATTGACCCTCGAGGCTGTAAAATACTATTTTTCCATGCCATTAATTGAATAAAGAAAATATATCACAGGTGCTGCATATAAGCATCTGACAGCTCACTTCTAGCACTGCGAAACAAGTGTCAAGTTGTGACTCAGATCGTTCAATGTTGCATCTTTTTTATATTTGTTAATAAAGTAGACAAAAAAAATGTCACGAATGTACAAAATTGATTTTTGTGAGAGCGTAGCAGATGATAAACATCAATTTTATAAGTAAAAAAATAGTTTTTTTTTTTAATTACAGAACATTGTTGATGAGTTCATTCAGTCGCGTTCATGAGTGCGTCTAACGACGTAAACCAATTGAAATAAACTTCACTGAATGAGCTCATCGCAAATTCGTGTTTTACTTTATTTCGTTAGTGTTATGCATAGGTTGCGTATATATGTATATTTGAATATATTGTACTGTCAGAATTTATCGTGAAGTAGTCTCAAAAACCTGTCGAAATGTTCATGGTTTTCCATTAAAATATTTGAATTTGCCAACCGTGCAACCGATGTGGGTTATGGAAGATATCTGAAAACTCTACCGCCCTCGGTCGCCCTGGACAAATTAATTTTCTGCCCTCGAATCTATTGAATTTCTCGCTTGGTTGCACGGTTTCTGTTAAAATATTATGCACGGAAAAATGATGTCAGTTGTTTCCAAAATTTTGAGAGCTAGTGTATGGCGAAATGAATGTGAGATCGATTACTCCTTTCGGATAAAGCAAAATCCACCTTTCTTCATGAATTTCTTTATCTTTCGTCAAGTATACACGTGCCACACACAAATTGCTTGTCACCTTTGCTCAAAATGTCAACAAGCGCGCGCATTTGAAGAATTAAATTGACTTCATCGTATTTCTTTCCCATCGCGTCATCACTTGCAGACATATGAATAATCTCAACACAGCACAGATTTGTGTTTGATTTGATTCAAATTTTAAAACTTCATGCATTTTTATTTGTTTTGAAATTTATTCATTGCGATGCTCTCTTCTCATTCTATGTCGTTCCACCTGTCGTTTGCGTTTTTCTGCATCATCCATTCCGTGCAGCAGATCCATTTTCTTGTCAGTGGGGCTTTTTCATATTCTGTGTGAAATAGTGTGATCCGATTACGTCGCGATGTCGAAACATCCTATATACAATACACATTGTATATCACGTGTGTTTGTGTGTAGCGCAATCATTCATACACCAACAAAATACACTGAATGCGTTGTGTACTATACTATATAGTATTCGAAGCAAATTATACATCCCATCTCCGTGACGCATTACGTGCACAAAGCCAAAGAGCGCATATTAAAGCTAAGCTACATAATGCAATAAATATTTACCTTTCTGCTGATTCGCAATTTACTCTCCGATGAGCGAAGAGCGCGACAGAATTTTCGAATTGAAAATGGATTCGTGTTACTCATAACAACTGTCATTCGAATACAAGAAAAAAATACACAAAAAGATATACACATCAGGATACATAAGTTGAATTTCGTCTTTTTTTTCTCCCTTATTTTGCAATCGCTCTCTGTGTGTACGTTTCTATTTTTCTTTGGTTTGTTTGTTTGTTTCGTTCTTTTTCGATTTTTGTGTCCCTTTTTAAATCGGCGATGCAGAGTAACACAGACACGGAATTTTGCATATATGTCTGCAGGTGGATTTTTTCACATATGTCGTATGCAAACACATTTAATTTGTGCTTCACATCATTCCCGTTTGCTCTGTTTGCATTTCGATGCGAAGAACATGCACACAGCGTGCGCGGCACTAACAAAACAGAGTAAAGCAATATTCTGTGATGAATTCGTTTAATGTCAAAAATAGTGTGCTTTTGTTACCATTAAACACACTCTCCACATCTGGTTACATTTATTTGGCGTGTTTCGTTGGCTTCAATGTGTGCAAATTGCGAAAGAAGCGCTTTATGCAAATGCAATCCCAAGCAAAAATTCACACTGAATCGAGGTTGCGTTTACACATATCCGATACTGTTCTCACACGGTTTTGAACTTCAAACCGTGTGGCTATAGTATAGTAGAGTGTGAAGTCGTTTGACACCATTTTTGATGTCAAATAACCGTGTGGATGCAGTTTATGTTTGTATTGGAATCCGCCACATTGTTTTACATTTAAAACCACGTCGCCGAGGTGTATGACCGTTGCGTTATCATGGCGAATTTTGAAACCATTTTTGGTGTCGAATCTTTATACCTGAACAAACTTACACTGCATCCACACGGTTATTTGAAATCAAAAATGACGTCAAACGGCTTCACACTCTATTATACTATAGCCACACGGTTTGACGTTCAAAACCGTGTGGGAACAGTGTCAGATATGCGTTAACGCAACGTCTATTCAGTGTGGATTTTTGCTTGGGAATGAAACGCTAAATTTGAACAATCTTCTGCCATCCAACACAATCATTCTCTCTTTTCTGCTTTTAATACCCATTGCATCACCAATTGCAACCAAAGCATTGCACAAACTCATCCTGCCCCGCACTCTCTGGAATAATTAAAATGAACTTTATTTTCAATTTTGTTAAAATCTAACAGCGTAACTAACAGAAATGATTATTATTTACAGCGACATGAAAACTGTACATTTTTGAAGCAGGCATTGGAATTTTTTAGTGGCATTTGCAAGTTTTCTCAGCCATTCGTATTTCAATACATAAATGGGAATTTATTCGCAATATTTGCGAATTCGTGTGCCTCCTACATTTGTACTGAAGCGCAACGTGAAATTTGTTTCTTAAAGACATAACAAGAAGCATCGTTTCAAGGGAAAAAAAATACCAAATGGGTATTTTGAATATGCACACAGCAAAATATCTGTAAGAATCTACACAATGATACAAGTCAAAATTGGATTTATATGACAAAACGTGTAAAACGTTAAAATATCGTGTAATTTTTTAATGTTTCAAAGTTGACGCGAACATTTGACAGATGCGTATATCGGGTAATAGTA